AAAAAAAAAAAAAAAAAAGAAAGAAATATTAAAGGAAAACTACTGCTTTATATTTCTGAGAAACCACAATCAAAGCCCCTTAACCCCTGTCTTTCAATCTCCAGGTGTTATTTATTCATGTCTAAGCTCAGAGTATTATTTTCTGTTTTGAAGTTAGCTTTACATGGCCCAACATTAATCTCACAATCTACCCAAGTATTACACAAGGTGGCGATTGACAGTAAAACAAAAACTCTTTTCCTGTTCGCAAGCTTGGGTGCTTCTGATCACAGTGTCACAGTTTGGGGTGCTTTGTTTGGAGGATGATTAGGATGGCACCCTTGGTACTGATTATAGTGGAGCTTATTTGTATCGCCCAGTCTGGGCACTGCATTATATTAAAACTTCCATTTTGGGGTACATAGTCACTATAAATTCTCTCCCAGCTTAAACTTGGCATCAACCCTATATCTCACCAGAAGCGAGATTATTAAGTATGGAACCACAGGAACTCGGCATTTTTCTTCTTTTATACTCGTGCAGGAAAAAAGACCCTGCTGAAATAGCACCTATGGTTCCTTCATTCTCAGATGAAAATTTCAAGCATTAACAGCTCATTCACAAAGTATAATCAGCAGGTTGCTATGACCAGATTAAATTTAAGCTGATGTGACAGGCCACTGCTTCTTGCATTAATAGATCCCAAATTTTCTGGAAGAAGAATGAAATAATTTCGGCTTCTTTCTAGAAAAAATGAAGAGGTGGAAAATGAAGCCCCGTCTGCTCCAGTGAATAGCACTTCTGACAACTGTTTCTCTGGAGTTCATCCATTTCCAACAGTCTCACCATCTATAACTGAATTTATGTAGGGCATGGCTCTGAAGTGGTAAAGGTTGAGACTTCTGTTCTAAGAACCACTAAACATAAACTGCACCCAAATGTTGGCAGGTTCATGGAATCATGGGAGTGGAACTTGTGCAAAAAGGTGAGGATGAGTTGACCTAAATTTGTCACCATCCAAGGCACATGCTCAGGCAGCTCAGCATTACCATCTACACAGGTAGATCTTACTGAAATGCCCCCTTGTTACCCATGGCCAGGATGGCCACGTTTTAAATACTTCAAAATCCAAGTTAATTAATTAGGAGTAAATAATTAACTACATACCACATCAGAAAACTTTTACCATTCTGTCCTTTATGTAAACAAAGGGATTGCATGCATGTGGTCTTGTATTTCTCTAAGTTATTCTATTCCTGGATATTAATTCTACTAGGGAAGGACACTAGTTGTGAGAGATTAAGTTATTTGCCAAGATCAGACAACTTGTAAATGACAGAGGAGACTATACAGCTAGTAAAAAGGTGAGGAATTTGATCCTGGTTACGTTCTTAGATGTTCTTGAGACAGAACTTGGAAACTGAACCAGATGAATCTGCAACTCTGGCCACCTGAAGAATTCTCAACCTCTTCTTGGATAGTGTTTAGATGGTCTTAGCTTTGTTCAGCCAATCTTAGCTATTCCATCCTGTTGTTCCTGCTTAGGGAAAGAATACCAATAAAATTCCAAGACTTAAATGGAAATCTAATATAATCTTGGTAACAACAAAATCAATACTCAGTACTTTGTATGCATTGATGAGATAAATTTCCTACCCCTCCCCAAAAGATACAGCTCTTAAAAGCATGTATAAACCAGTGATTCAGCATACATTGTGATGTATGTTAGGTTCTTACACTGAAAACTTTAGAGTGTACAAATTCAAAAATAACATTTTTAGAATAATAATCTCATGCCAAGGAGGATAAAGTTTTGAAACAACCTGGAACGTGGTGAGGGCAATTTTTTAATACTTTAAATACAGTGAACTACATATTCCTTTGGCTAGACAGTCTTGGAGACTAGTCCAACCAGCATGCTAAGATTTTTTTTTTAATTTAGTGGTCTCACAATTTCCTATTATCAACCCTCCACCCAACAGAATCGAATTCAGGAAGTCTGTCAATAGCTACTTGTCTCGGATTAGGTTTATGGTGTGGTAACAGGACTGTGTGGGGGGAAATATGCTCAGAATATGTCCAAGCACGTTTAGGTCAAGTCAGTAAGAGTACTTAATGCTGAAAAGAGCGTAGAGTATTCCTATGACTGAGAACCCAGCACACAGGCTACTCGTGAGCAGGTACAGTACTCCGGTTTCTCCCCTGCTGGCAGACCCTAGGCACTGAAAAACCACGAGCTTCTTTGAGACTCTATCACACATCCCCAGCAAATATCCCTGGAGCTGGAAAGCAGTTAAGATCCAATCCGGGGAAAAATGAGGAATAGGAAGGAAATCAAAAAATTTAATTAATCCCACTCCCACCCCATTTTCCCAAGTGCTGCCCATGTAAAGACTTTCTAAGGCACCCTCCTCCCGCAAAAACCTTGATCCTGCAAAAATAAAATATAATAAACCCATTTGGGGCACAGATATGGTGAGGTCCACGACTGGTCCTATCAAGCCACCGTTTATCTGCCTGAGTCCGGTCCGGTCCTAGGCTCGTTCGGTCCAAAGCTCACCACGAGGGTGAAGACCAGGAGGCATGGAGGAGGGGAACGCAGGAGAGAAAAGGAGAAAGGGGGAGACCTCCGGGCCACACTTCTTTCTAGCACCAACATAAAGAGAAGCCGCATACTGACCTAAATCATCTCTCAAAGGCGCTTTATAAATTATAGGGACAAAGGGAAGGGGTGGCGGGTGGCCTGGGAACCCCACGGACACCCTACCCTCTGACCCGCCCCCTCCCCCCTCCAGCACAAGGAAAGGAAGACAGAAAACAGAGCTCAACTCGGCCATTGGCGACGAGCCCCCTCCGGTTTTCAATCGCCCATCCATCCGCCCCCTAGAAAAAATACACAGAAACACCCTGCCCACCCCCTGGGGTGGCACTCCCGCCCTGGGGCTCCTGGCCCCCCGAGGCCGGGGCATTTACTTAGTTGGATTTTTCTTGCTTACTCATTTCCCTCGAGCACCCAACCCCCCGTTCCCACTCCAAAACCCCGCTCAGCCGCCTACCCTGCCGGCCCCGGCCCCCCCCCCCCGAACGGGGCCCCCGCGCCCGCGGCCCCCGCGCCGCCCCGGTCACTCACCTGCTGCTGTAAGGGCATTTCTGAAGGCAGCCTGGCTCCGGGGCAGTGGGGGGCCGGCGGGAGAGGGGGCCCGGAGGGCCGAGCAGACCGGCGGCGCCGGGCGCGGGCGGGCGCCGGTGCGGAGGGGGGGGGGGACGGGAGAGGGAGGGGGGCGGGGCCGGGGACGGGTGCGAGGGGGCCGGGACCGTCCCAGGTCAGGGAGCCGGCGAGCAGGAGGAAGTGGGTGCCCCCTCTCCCCCTCCAGCGCCCCCTCCCGCCGCCGCTGCCGCCGCCTCCCCAGTCACAGGCGCGTCCTCCGCGCACGTGTGCGAAACGTCACCGGCGGGTCCCGAAGAGAGGGACAGACCCGGGTTGCGGGACAGGAGCCCGGCTGCCCCCGCCCTGCGTTGCCGGGGGGCGGAGGGGGGCAGGGCGGGGAAGCGGGGGCCCGGGAAGAGGCGGGTCAAGGGCAGGCCCGGGGCTGGCGGGGAAGGCCCTGGGAGCGCGGGCCACGCGGCTGCCGCGGGATGCGCCAAGGCCGGGGCAGGAGCCCCCGGGCTGTGCGTCCCGGACAGCCCCCGCCCCAGCGCGGCCCCCGCTCCCCGCCGCACCCCCGCCACCCTGCCTCCCCCGGTGCCTTTGTTGCGGGCAGTCCCAGGTCCCCGAATGTGTCCGGCGCTGCCCCTGCGCTCCGAGCACGCCCCAGGGACCCCCGGCCGCGCAGGGACTTCGGAGGCCGGCCGGAGGGATCCGGGGCGAACCCCTAGGCAATCCTCGCCGTCGGCACCCCCGGGGGACCCCCCTCACTCCCCAGATCAATGCACCCTCCCCCACCCCCTTCTCCATCCGGGGCGTGACCCCTTCCTACGCCCGAGAAAGAGGAAGCTTCGAGTTGGAGGGGAGGGGAGAGTGGGGGTAGGGAAAAGTGCTGGAAAAGCACGCGGGGGTCCCGAAAAGTTTCGGAGTGCCAGGCGTGGCTCGCGCCGGGCCGATCCCCACTACCCCGCGCACCAGGCCGGGCCCCCAGACCCTCTCGGCCCCCGGGGGAGCGCGCGAGTCCTAACAATGAGCCGGCGCTCGGCGCCGGCAGCCTCCGTGAGTCCGAGGCCCGCGCGCTCGGCCCGGCGCCCCCACCGCGCAGCGCAGCCCACCTCCCGCCCGGGCCAGGGCGCAGGGGAGAGGATTACCGGAGGGCCGCCGCCGCCGCGTCCCAGCGCTGGTAGCTGCTGCAGCAGCCCGGCTCTGCCCGAGGGTCCGTGCGGCGTGGTGTAGAGCAGGCTGCCGGCCGTCGGCTCCGCGCCGGGGGCGCTGGGGAGGAGGGGGCCGGCGGCGGCCGCGCCGCTGGGGAGGGAGGAGCAGGAGGTGGTGGACGTGTTCGTGGTGAGGATCTGGATGTACGCGCCCGGGGCGGCGGCGGTGGCGAAGCCGGGGCTGGCTAGCAGTGCCCTTTTGTCCATGGAGGCTGCGGCGGCGGCGGCGACGACAGCCGCCCCCTCCCCACCCCCGGCGGTCACCAGGTACTGCTCCAGGGCGGGCTGGATCCCCTTTCTCATCTCTCGCTCCTGCGCTTTTTAGTGTTACGGTATATTAATGTATTGCTTTCAATTTCTTTATTATTTGCAGTCGGAGTTTCCAAGTCTGTCCTTCTCTCCCCGCCCGGCGCTTCCGAGCCCCCTCTCTCTATTTTTCCGCACCGCACAGGCCCCGGGGGCCAAAAATAATCGGGGATCTGGAGAGAGGAGGGTCCGGGCCGCAAGGATATCAGACCCCGAGAGGGGATGGAGGCGTCGGGGGCAGCCGATGCAACGGATTGCGAGGCGGTGGCGGCAGCCCGGGTGCTGCGGCCGGCAGCTGAAAAATGGCTCCAGGAAGCTGCTGCTGACAATGAATGAAGGGATACGGTTTACGCGCCAAGGTCCTCCCGCGAAACTCAGATTTCCCGCCGGCTTTTCAAACTATATTTGCATATCCCCGCCCCTCAACCCGCCGAGGACCGTTCCCACAGCCCATTGGGTCTCTGCCTCCTTACTTCACTCCCAATCGCGGAACGGGGCCTCAACTAGTTAGTTTCCATTGGTTCCCGTTCATCATGGTTACCGGGGCGACAGGGGCCTTATTTGCATAGGCCACCTTGATTGGCTGGGAGCAGAGCAAGGTTTTTTTCCTTCTCTCCCACGGCAGGCCACGCCTGGTTCAGGCCCCGCCCCTGTCCCGCCCGCGGGGGCCGGCGCTACTGACCTGGGCAGGGACTCCGCACCCCGCAGACTCAGTGTGGATCTGGTCTAGAGCGCAAGTTTCGCTTTTGTAAATTGTCAAGGTGACCAAGGGAACACTTTCAGGAACTCTTTGGCCAGTGTAATCGATGAGAAACTGCAAGAGACTCCCCTAAATATATGCCAATGTGAAGACGTTGCCTGGCAGGTGGACACTGAGCCCTTTAAAACCGGGGGTTTTTCCCTTCCTGAAATCCAACCAGTGCGACCAGAGCTGATCCCGAGGCAGACGCTGATAGACAGAAGCATGTGGGCAGACAAATCGCGGGGGCAGGAGCCTGGGCTGGCGGGCACCATTCAGTTACCGTTCCAGATCATTCCTGGTAGCTTCATTATTGGCCTGGATTGAGTTTAAGTAAAAATTAACCCTTGTCAAGTGAACTCTTACCACTAGGATTGGCTGGAGTCCGGCAGTCGGGCACTCCCTCTGTCCCCGACACAGCCAGGCTAGTTAATCAGGGCTAACCTAGAACTGATCTGCGGGCTTCTAATCCGAAGAGGCGCAGACTTTCGGGGTGACGTGGTTCTCCCAGTGCCTGCACCCGGGTTTCAGCACGGTGCATCCTGGGTCTCCTGGGAAGCCCTCCAGCTAGAAGTGAGCACGCTAGCCCTCATCCAGTCCAACATATCTTCAGAGAGGCTTTTTGGTTCTGGCTATTTTTATGAATTAGAAATTGGTACCAAGAAGATATTATGAAGTTACTGTCAAATTGACTTCTATGTTGGTACAATTATTCAAGGGTCTTATACGTGAAAATTCCACCTGTGAGACCTAGCAGGATCAGAGACCCCCCTGCAGGACTTCCGGGGAAAGGTGTAGATGTAGAAAACCAGGGCTTCATTTACGGCTCCAGTCGCAGAGATTTGGGCATAACAGCTGCTTTAGATAGCGTCCAGCAGGTGATGAGGATTGCTATACCTTGAGCCCTTTCACCAGACTTTCATTATAATATTATTATTATTATTATTATTGTTATTAATTCCCCAAACTCAAATACTCAGAGTCCTCTACGAGGCCTGAAAAGATAGGTCAACTCAGGCTAGGACTCCGCAATACTTCATTACCATTTTTGAAACAAGATGAGTTCAAAGTACTATTAAACCCTGCACCATGCTCTGGATATTTTGGTTTTGCATTCAAGGTAGTTGAGGGCCCATGGCCAGTACACAGACATTTGGTGACTCTGCTAGAACTGTTTTGTGGGCACATAAGGTAGTGTTCAAAGGATATGGCCCTTCTAGTTGAGTTAGTGGAATAATGGGAACCTCCTTAATCTTGTTCTGTCAGTGTTGCTTTCCACTGTGGAGCACTCTGTACCACTGTAACTATTGGATATTACCATCTGTGCAGCATCACCGCCAGTATGTGTTTGGGATGGTAGTGGAGATTCTGGGGGAGGGTGATGCAATATTCAGTTATAACAGACCTACATCTTACATTACAGGCAAGCTGGGAGCCATACTTTGTGCAATCTTGAGCTCCCTGTGATTGCAGTAAGATAAATACGACACAGCCACAAGAACACAAGTGTTCACGCTCAAACCATACCTGTGATTCTGGTTTTAAAATCTTTGAAATAATTATCATTCTACCTTAGCCAAGTTACATGTTTTAATATAGGTTAATTGGTAGAAAAACATGTTTTGATATTTTATGTCTAGTGGACCCTTCAATGAGGAGGAAGGAAGAGTTCAAAAGAGAGAAGAGGTGTTGTTAGATAAGATGCTAAAACTTGAGATAGGCTATTTATTTGTGGAGAGGTAGTATGTTTTAGTCAAAAGATAATGGCCTGTGGAGTCAGAATAGCTTGAATTCTGGCTCTGCCACTAACTTGCTGTATAGCTTTGATCTCTAAAAGCCTGTTTTCTCATATGTTAAATGAGACCTCATATTGCAGTGCCCATATTGCAAGGTTATGACGAAAAGAGGCAATAATAAATATAAAGTGCCAGGCATGTGGCAGGTGTTCAATAAATGGGAGCTACTTATGATTCTACTTATTTGAACATTCATGCTTAGCAGTTCTTTGTGGTCTCGTCTGACTGTCAGCCTCTAATCTTCCTAGAGTTGCTGGATGTCCACTTGCTGGGACACTTTAGCTTCATCCCAGACTATGAGGGCAGTCCTGGTTAGTAGGGATTACAGAATCCTGCCTCCGAAACTCAGATGACACAAAGTCAGCTCTTCTTTTCATCCCACTCCCAACCTGCTCATCCACTAGTGGCCACCTTCTGTCTGTTTCTAATATGATCCCTCCTCACGTTCCCTTGAACATGAGTCCTAGTGCTGGAACCACACAACTCTCACCAGCCACATCCCTTCCCTTTCTTTTGCTTTGGCAAACAGGCAGCTGTTGGTCCCAGAATTGGCTTGCATGGTTGGTTGAATGGTGGCCACCCAAAAGACATGTCTATATCTTAATCTGTGGAACCTGTGATTGTGTGTGACTTTATTTGGGAAAAGGGGATCTTGCAACTAAGTTAAGAATCTCATAATCATTGTGAATTATCTTGAGGTGGGTGCTAAATCCAATAATGAGTCCATGTGAGAGAAAACCAGAGAGAAGCAGACAGGCCTGTGAAGTTGGAGTCAGAGATTGAAGTAAGCCACCACAAGACTAGGCACACTGACAGCCATCAAAAGTTGGAAGAGGCAAGGAACAGAATCTTGTATCCTTGGAAGGAAAATGGAGCCCTGCCAACACTTTAGTTTTGGGCTTCTGGCATCAAAGTCTGTGATAGAATATATTCCTATTGTTTGAATCTACCCAGTTTGTGCTAATTTGCATGGCAGCTTAGGAAATTAATACAGGCCCTGGTCAAGCTACCTCTCAACCTGAAACTTCAAACCTCTCAGCCCCTGCTCACCTCATTTTTATTCCTGCCAAGATGCCATTCCTTGCTGGACACCAATGACAATAATTGCTAGTGTCAGCTACAGAGCCTGGTAACAATTTTCAGAGTATTATTTGATGACCACAAGGTGCAGATTCAGCTAAGGAGCCTGAGAAAATGCAGATTCCTGTGGTGCCACCCTGACCTAATCAGCATCCTTTGAGGTAGGACCCAAAAATCTGCATTTGACAAGTCCCTCTAGGTAATTTCTTTGAGTACAAAGACTGAGGGCAAGACTGCTGATACCTTTGAACTTCTTCCCATTACTTTCCCCTGTTACAGCTAGAATTGACACCCCTGCACCTAAAGCCTTGATAAATCTGTCCAATCCTCCTCCTGCCTCTTCTCGTCCTGCCAATTAGCATAAGTTCTGGATTCATACACAGACATTTCTATATACATACATAGACAGATATATACAGACAGATATATACATGCTGTCTATATCCATATAAAGTTTGACATAATCCCTGTCATTGTCCATTTTCAATTTAGAAATAAGATTGTGCCAACATTTATAAGGTGTGTAAATTATTCCTGAGGAACAATACTATTCAACAGTTCTATGAAAATTCAATATTAAATCTTGAGATGGAAAATTATAGCTTTAAGTGATTAAAGAAATTGCTCATAAATGTAGCAAAAGTTTAGATTGTGCCTTTCACTTAGTTCAGCTAAATCTGGTTGCCCCTTCAAACTTGAAATATATAGTTTTAAATTTTAGGGTCTGGAGAAGATAGTTTAGGTCTGAGTCTAAGGCTAATATGACATTTCAGTTAGTTGCCCACAAAACAATACATTCTGTTTCATCTTCCTGGTTTGGAAGAAAGGATCATGCTCTTAAGCTATCAACGCTTCAGATGCTAATAACAAGATTTCTAAGAGCATATCCTAGAAAATTGACCATTATAGTTATTACAGATAGTGGTGTAGATACTAATGTAGCATTTCTTGTCTTCAGTTCTTTGACCAGAAGATACTGTTTGGACAAAGTTTAGTATTTTAAATATATCTGGATGAACTTCTGACATACAACACTGTTCTCAGTCACATCTAAATTTAGTTCTCTGGTTGAGATCCAAAATATGCATCCTAAGCAGGGTAATTTTGATGTGAGTAACCCACAGCACACACTTTGAGAAACATCCCCATACAAGCATCCATGACCGAGCAATCTCTGCACTGTAACTTAGCTTCTTTGGCAACTATGGTGTATAAGACGCCCTTGCATATAGCATCTTTTATGCAGCTGATGTTACCATTGTTAACATGGCTGTTTGCTTAGGCTATCCTGTGAATTGAAATTACCTCTTTTATTGAAGTTGTTTCTCAGTTAACAAGTGATATACTCAGAGAAAATATACTGGATGATAAAGAAAGGTATTGCTCAAAGGTATGTGTTTCCTTGAGTATTTGAAACAGATATTTATTGCAACCAAAAAAAAAAAGCCACCCCAGATTAAAAAAATCAAATGAAACACA